ATAAATTAAATAAATTTATAGGCAACTTTAATCTTTTAAGTCGAGCGTTTTTCTCTTCCTGCAGCTTAAAGAGTATTTAAAATGCGGTTACTATATGCTCAACTTTCCTTTCTTGTTACTTTAACATTTTAGAACGTTGCCGCGGGCGTTCTTTTTTTATGTATTTTGTATTTTTTGCAGCACGCTCCGTTTGCGTATAAATAGGAGCCTCTTCAGTGCGATCGGCAACAGTTTCGATTCGGGCGCGCATGCGCAAAGGTAGCCGCGACAAGTAAAAACCCCTTCTGGAATATTTTATTTATTTTATATATACAACATACTTTGGATACGTTCAGCTAAGTAAGTGAATGAGTCAAGTGTAGTGAGAACTTTCTATACAAACAGTGTGTCGTGTGTTGGTGCAACAGTAAATGGACATCAAATTGAATATTAAGTGGAATTCTCCTCAGTGTGTGTGCGTGTGTGTACGTGAAGTGCATAAGAAATGTTTTACTGTGTCTTTTTGTGTGATACGCGTAGAAGTCCGATTTCTGGACCAAGTTTATGGATTTTTAATAGTGGCACATAAAATCAACCAAGTATTTTATATATATATAAAAACAAAAACAATAAACGAAACAAAAGACTTTTGTTCTGAAAAAGTCTTAAATGAAATGTGAAATATATAAATAAATTGATGTATTTGCTGCTGATGGTACTATATAGATAATAAATATATTTACAAGCCGAAAGTTCCACGCAAGCAAATTTTATTCAAAGCGGCCGCCTTTCTCTTGTTGCAGAATCTCTTCTAGTTTTTTATTTTTTTTATTTTTAATTTACCACATCTAAAATATGCAGACAGGATCAGTGGGCCGAGGTTCTTGACGTTCAATGAACTCTCTCGCTCTCTCGCTCTCTCTCTCTTTCACCTCCAATGAAAACCTGCCTAGTTCTAAATCGCAAAACTTGCCCAACGTCTTTTACTCACATCACTGGCGTGGGTTACATTTCTTTTGATTACCATACATAATAATCTCTTCCCCAGTATTACGTCTCTTTATGTTTAATTATCAAAACAAGAACAGAAATAATGATAAATAGCAAAAAAAAATCAAAAATAAATAACCGGTCAACATCGTAAAGCTTTTAACCTAATTCTGAAAACCGATTTGCATATTAGGAAAAAAAACAGCAAAAGAACAAAATTTGGCACGCATTTTTAAATAAGCCATGGGCTTAATAGAAAGAGAAGGAAACGTTATTAATAATTCAATAGCTATTAGCAAATATTGAAACATAAAGGCGCGAAAGACAAGCATACGTATATAATCATTAACAGACAGAACTCTTGACTCATGGAGCTAAAGCTCCCAAGACACAAAATCCCTTTGTCTGCTTCAGTTCCAGTTCAAGGATTTTAATGTCGAGTACACTAGCTAACAAAATTTGGTTTATATATGAGCTACAATATATGTATAAATGAAATATGTAGAACTTGAAATCAAAATTCCTAAAGATGATATTAGAAATGTATATAATGATAGATTAGATTATATACAAATATATCAAATTAAATATTTATATATTTATTTATAGTAATGTATAAGCGTAACCTTTTTTAAAAAATAAAATACTAAAAATTTGCAAAATACAATTAAAATAATCATTTATATTGTATCAAAACCACAATTCAATTTATAACCAAGCGGCACATTCAAACGATTTAAATGAATGCAAAAGCAAACAAAATGAATTTATTAAATCAATTTTAAATCTCTGGCAATTAAATGTCGCAGCGTATACAAGTTGCTTATCTCCAAGCTAATTTATAAGAATTTTTTGAAAAACGGTGGGAAAGTAAGCAAGTTTCGTTTGGCACCCTGAACAGGAACATAATTATATAAACATATAATTGATATTTTGTGGGCGTGGGCCTAGGTCGTGTTGCGTCTGGCATATAAAATATTTAAGTATATATTATATATTTATTGCCCGTAGACATTTATCACTTACAATCAATAGGTATATAAATAAGTTCCGGGCAAAAATACAAAATACAAAAAAAAAAAAAAAAAATTAAAATTAAAATAAAAAGAGAATCAAACAATTACTTCCCAATTTGTCATCCAGCCTCTACCTAACCTAATTAGAATGTAAGACGCATTGCCGCACGTAATCTGAGAGGACAACGCGCTGACGTGATAATGCGTGCGTCTGCCTCAATAAATCATGTACATAGCCCAATATATATAAATAATGATATTTTGGTAAAAATCAAGTTACATTTATGAATCACACTTAAAAACAAGAAAATATATCACACTGCTTTATATATTGACAATTTTAATGTATTACCCGCCTAATTGCAAATATCTATTGGTTTCTTTGCAGTTGAACTAAAATATAAGGAGAGTCATCTTAAGAGCACCATTTTAACATGCGTAGAAGAGCTACGCTAAACGGGCTGCTGGTAAGTCTCATGAAGTTAGGGAATGTAAACGGTAATGTCCTGACAGTAGAAGCAATAGTAATAGTTGGTTGAAATAGTAGTAAAAGTAATAGTAGAATAGTAGTAGAAATAAGAGAAATATTAGTAGGTATAGCAATAATAGTAAAAATAATAGTAAGTAGTAGTAATACAAAAGTAATAGTAATAGTAGCAGGTACAGTAGTAATAGTAAAAATAACAGTAAGTAGTAATAGTAGTAGAAGTAGTAGTAACAGTAGCAGTAGCCACTCAAAAGTAGTATGATAATTGTAGAAGTTGAATAGAAGTTATCATAGTAGTATTAATTAATTGTAGTAAGTGTACAATAATAGTAATAGTATAATAGTAGCAAAAGAAAGACAATCTAATATTATTTGAATATTAATTTTATGTAGCTCTAATATAATAGTAGTAGAATAGTAGTAATAGTTTAACAATATATGAATAGTACATGCTTGTAGAATAGCAGTAGTGGACTAGACGAGTAGATACTAGAAAAGATGATAATCGACTTGAAGTAGCAGTAGAGACATAAAGTAGTAGAAATAGTGATGACTGAAGTAGTAGAGTGGTATAATAATAATAGAGATAAAGTAGTAGTAGAAATAGTAAGGCATTTGCAAAAATTAATAAGAATATAGCAAAAATTTATAAGAATATTTATATATATCGTTTTATCATGAAAGTAATTTATAATAAATCCCATTTATTTAAATAATTTTACAGTTGCTTTGCCTATGGGCAACAGCGGCCACTGGGCACATTCGCATCGAGGCGCCCGAGGTGCACGTGGCGCCCAACTACAAGCCGGCCTTTGTCCGGGCCGCCGTGGAGAGCATACCCGTGGAGGATGAGCCCGGGGCACTGAGTCGCATCAGCACTCGACCCACATTTGGCGAGGTATTCCTGCCGCTACGCAGCGCCGTGGAGAGTGTGCCCAGCATCAGTGAACGGGACGTTGCGCAGCTGCGCGAGTCCTCGCCTTTGCGCTCCTTTGTACGCGACTCTGTGGAGGCGCAGCCCAGCGACAATGATGATGAAGATGAGGACTCCTTAGAGTTTGGTTCGCCAGCCAGCTATGTGCGCGATGTGCCAGAGGAGATCAAAGAGGAAAAACTCTCGCATCTGGTGGAGCCAGATCCCTGGTCGGTGTCTGATAAATATGCCGCCTTCATAGCGCCCAGCTCAAGCGATAATTATCAGCCGCAACCGTATCGCTCCGGCTCCCCTCATCAGGAGCTACTCAAGGCTGTGGATCTGGAGCAACTGGAGCATATCGATGAACTGGACAGCTACACGGAACAGCAGTTCTATGGTGCTCTCGCCCAGGCAGATCTCACGCAAGATGGCGCCTATGGGGCTCTCTTACACGCCAAGACCACAACGGAAAAGAAGAACTACAACACGGTGCCCAAAGTCCTTTGTTACATGTCCAACTGGGCCTTCTATCGCAAGGCCGATGGTCACTTTGTGCCCGAGCAACTGGACCCCAAACTATGCTCGGCAATTGTCTATTCATTTGCCTCCCTCGATCCGGATCACTTGACCATACGCGAATTCGATCCCTGGGTGGATATAGAGAATCAGTACTACAAGCGCGTTGTTTCACTGGGTGTGCCCGTGCTGATTGCCATGGGCGGTTGGACAGATTCCAGCGGTGATAAATACTCTCGCTTGGCTGCCGATGAGATTAAACGCAAAGTGTTTGCCTCGAGTGCGGCGGGTTTTTTGCAACGTCATGGCTTTAGTGGCATTCACTTGGACTGGAACTACCCCAAGTGCTGGCAGAGCGACTGCTCCAAGGGACCGGCCAGCGATAGACCCAATCTGACGAAGCTGCTGCGTGAGATACGCTCAGAGCTGAAGCGAGTCAATCCCAAGATGCAGCTGGGCGTGGCCATCTCCGGCTACAAGGAGATCATCAGCGAGGCGTACGAGTTGGCTGCACTCTCCGAAATCGTGGACTATATGACCGTGATGAGCTATGACTACCATGGCGCCTGGGAGGGACAAACGGGACATGTGAGTCCACTCTACGGACGTGCGCAGGACAAATATCCGCAATACAATACGGACTACACAATGCAGCTGTTGGTGAAGATGGGTGCACGCCGTGAGAAGTTGATCATGAGCATTCCCTTCTATGGGCAGACCTTTACGCTCGAGCAGAGCAGTCAGCGCCTGGTCGGTGAGGGCATCCCGGCCAGCGGCCCTGGTGACGCCGGCGAGCTGACCAAGCAGCCCGGCATGTTGGCCTACTACGAGATCTGTCAGCGCATACGCAAGCAGAAGTGGCAGACCGGACGGGATGCAGAACGCAAATCGGGACCCTATGCCATGCTGCGGGACCAATGGGTGGGCTATGAGGATGCGGCCAGCGTGGAGGCCAAGGCACGCTATGCGGTCAACAATGATTTTGGTGGTGTTGCTGCTTGGACCGTCGATCTGGATGACTTCCAGAACCGCTGCTGCAGTGAACCCTTCCCGCTGCTCAGGGCTGTCAATCGGGCCTTGGGTCGACTGAACACGGAGCCACCGACGCGCAGCAACTGCGAGCGTCCACCACAGCCGATTACACCGGTGCCACCACAAATGACGACCATAAGCAGCGATGGCTCGCAAAGCGGTGCTCATAGTGATCACACCACTTCGTGGCCCACTTGGGATCAAACGAGCACAAGCACACGCAGACCCACTAGCAGTGCGACAACCACACGGCGACCCAGCAGCACTACAACCACGCGACGACCCACTACTAGCACCACCACCACCACAACTCCCGCCTGGTGGACCAGCACAGCAGCAGCTACAACCACGAGGCGTCCCACCAAGCCAAAGCCGAAGCCAACGAAGACAACTGTTCGACCTGCCCACACCACTATACCAGTGCCCGCTCTGGTCTATCCGGTGGTGCAAGCCGCTAACTGCAAGGCTGGCGAATTCTATCCAGATAAGAAAAATTGCAATTCCTATTATCATTGCATAATACCGGGTGAGCTGCGTCAGCAATTCTGTCCCGGTGGTTTGCACTGGAACAACGAGGTGAAGGGCTGCGATTGGCCCGCCTCGGCGCAGTGCACGGTGAAGAAGCAGCATACGAGCACCACAAGTGGCATACCCATTACTAAGAGCACCACTCAGAGACCCAGCAGCAGCACCACCAAACGTCCCACCACTACCACCAAGAAGCCGCGCAGACCTTCGACATCCGTCAAGCCCAGTCGCAAGCCTACAAAACCCGCTCAGAAACCTCAGCAGGGAGCTAGCACCACCCGTAAACCGAACCGCACTACTCGACGACCACGTCCACCCACCTCGTCCCGCTGCAACGAAGGCGAATACTACACGCACCGCAACTGTGGCAAGTACTACATCTGCGTGAATGGAGCGCTCGTGCCGAGTGAATGCGGCAGCGAGCTGCACTGGGATGCCCTGAGGAAGATCTGCGATTGGCCGGAGAATGTGCAGTGCGTGACCAGCAAGAAGTATCTGCGGATTGTGCAGTCCAAGGCCAGCGAAGAGGATCCCTGCAATGGGGAGGAGCGTGTGCCCTATCCCGGTGACTGCTCCAAGTATTTGTTCTGCCTGTGGAATCGTCTACAGGCGGCGGACTGTCCGCCTGGCTTGCATTACAACGAAGCGCTGGGCAACTGCGACTGGCCAGGGGCGGCGCAATGCAAAGAGAACGGCGGAGGTGGTGCAGCTGGCAGTAGTAGCGGCAGCTCAAAGCCCATGCCACCGGCTGCAGCTAAGCCCGTGCCCACAACCCAACGACCGAGCACCACGCCACGACCCACTTATCCCACGGACAAGCCACAACTCCAGCCTCTCGATGGCTACTACAAGGTCGTCTGCTACTTCACCAATTGGGCCTGGTATCGCAAGGGTCTGGGTCGCTATACACCCGATGACATCAACACGGATCTCTGCACCCATGTGGTTTACGGCTTTGCCGTATTGGATTACTCGGAGCTAACGCTGCGCACTCACGATTCGTGGGCGGATATCGATAACAATTTCTACACACGCGTCAGTGGTCTGAAGAGCAAGGGTGTCAAAGTCAGCCTTGCTCTGGGCGGCTGGAACGATTCCCAAGGCGATAAATACAGTCGCCTTGTGCGCAATGCTGCGGCTCGTGCGAAATTCATTCGACATGCTCTGGACTTTATCGAGAAATATGGCTTCGAGGGTCTCGATCTGGACTGGGAGTATCCGGTGTGCTGGCAAACGGAGTGCAACAAGGGCTTCGCCGATGAAAAGGAGGGTTTCACGGCCTGGGTCAGGGAACTCTCGGAGGCATTCAAGCCACGTGGCCTGCTGCTCTCCACGGCCGTATCACCCAGCAAAAAGATCATCGACGCTGGCTACGATGTGGAAGAACTAGCACGCTACTTTGACTGGATTGCCGTGATGACCTACGACTTCCACGGACAGTGGGACAAAAAAACGGGCCACGTGGCGCCTCTGTATCATCATCCCGATGACGACTATGATTACTTCAATGCGGTAAGTAATGGCTCTACTTTATTATTATTCAATTACTAAATTAGTTTCTCTTTACTTAGAACTTCTCGCTGAACTATTGGATAGAACGGGGTGCTCCATCTCGCAAGATTGTCATGGGCATGCCTCTATATGGTCAATCCTTTACCCTGGAGAATGCCAAAAACAATGGACTCAATGCCAAGGCACCAGGACCTGGTCAGGCGGGTGAATTTACCAGAGCAGCAGGTTTCTTGGCGTATTATGAGGTGGGTTTATTTTAGTTACTTAGCTCTTAGATCCAATCCATATGAGGGACCTTTTCTTCTCTAACCATTTCATCATTCCAACAGATCTGCGAGCGTGTCAAACATCAGGGCTGGGAAGTGGTGCAGGATGAGCGCGGTCGCATGGGTCCCTATGCTCGCAAGGGCACCCAATGGGTCTCCTATGATGATCCAGCCATGATACGCAAGAAATCGCAGCTGGTTCGTGCGCTCAATCTAGGCGGCGGCATGGTTTGGGCATTGGATCTGGATGATTTTCGTAATCGTTGCGGTGATGGCGTGCATCCATTGCTCAGGGAAATACACGACGTATTAAAGGATCCACCAAATGGTTATGAGCCAACGCGTAAGTCAAAATTCAAAATAATTCCTAATAATTCTTTTAATTTGAGCTCATATTTAAATACCCCCAGCTGGTCTAACTCCTGCAGAAATTGAATCTGTGGAGGAGCAAGCCATTTCGGCGGAAGTAGGAACAGCATCTGTGGAAAGTGAAGCCGGACAATCGTCACAGGAGAAACCTGCTCAGGAAAGCAGCGAGGCTGAGGATGTTGAAAACGAAGGTGGTGGGGAACAGGAGGAGGAGGAGGTGGCAGTCATGCAGCCACCACAGCCAGAAACTGGCTCCAATTCTGAAGACTCCAGCAATGAGACAGCCAACAATGAAAATGAGTCCGTCAGCGCAGAAATAGGCGACAATAACAACAACAACAACGAGCAGGAATCATCGCAAGAAAACGAAGTTGATCCCAACGAGGATATTGAAGAGGGAGATTTCGAAATGGAGAGCGGCTATCCCATTGCCGACTCCGGCACAGACTACAAGGTCGTCTGTTACTTCACCAACTGGGCGTGGTACCGTCAAGGCGGTGGCAAGTATTTGCCCGAAGACATCGATGCCGAGCTCTGCACGCACATCGTTTACGGCTTTGCTGTATTGAATCGCGATAAGTTGACCATTCAACCGCATGATTCGTGGGCCGATCTGGACAACAAGTTCTATGAGCGCGTGGTCAGCTATCGGAAGAAGGGTGCGAAGGTAACCGTAGCCATTGGCGGCTGGAACGACTCAGCGGGTGATAAATACGCTCGCTTGGTTAGAAGCGCATCGGCTCGTGCCAGATTCATACGCCACGTCATGGACTTTATCGAGCAGTACGGATTCGATGGCCTCGACTTGGACTGGGAATATCCGGTGTGCTGGCAGGTGGACTGCAAAAAGGGCACCGCCGACGAGAAGGAAGGCTTCACAGAGCTGGTGCGCGAATTGTCGCAGGCATTCAAGCCGAAGGGCTTGCTGCTCTCCGCCGCCGTCTCGCCGAATAAAAAGGTCATCGATGCGGGCTACGATGTGCCAGAGCTTTCACGTTACTTCGATTGGATTGCGGTGATGGCGTACGACTATCACGGACAGTGGGATAAGCGTACGGGCCATGTGGCGCCCATGTACGATCATCCCGAGGGCACTGCGACCTTCAATGCCAACTTCTCGATTAACTACTGGCTGGAGAGCGGAGCTGAGCGCAAGAAAATTGTAATGGGCATGCCCATGTACGGTCAGTCCTTCTCGCTGGCCCAGGCCAGTGCCAATGAGCTCAATGCGCCCACCTATGGCGGCGGTGAGGCGGGCGAGGCGACACGTGCCCGGGGCTTCCTGGCCTACTACGAGATCTGTTCGTATATACAGAAACGCGGCTGGAATGTGGTGCGTGATGCGCGCGGTCGCATGGGTCCCTATGCCTACTCGCGCGATCAGTGGGTGTCCTTTGACGATGCGCCCATGATACGGCACAAGAGCGAGTATGTACGCGCCATGGGCTTGGGTGGTGCCATGATCTGGGCCCTGGACCTGGACGATTTCAAGAACGATTGCGGCTGCGAATCGTATCCACTGCTAAAGACAATCAATCGCGTGCTACGCGGCTATCCGGGACCACATCCCAAGTGTGCACTGGAGCAGAGCGAAAAGACAATGGGTGGGTGTTGTTTACGAGGTGTTGAAGCGAGAGACTTTCATTGAAAATCTATAATATTGTGTTTATATTTACAGTTGCGGGCGACAAAGGCACGGCCCAGTCAGCCAAACCCACCATTAACACCGTCACTCCGGCCAGTATAGTTGCGACTCCAGCCAGGCCAGAGCCTGGTCAGCCCATCGATTGCGGTGGACGTAATTATGCACCGCACGAGCGCGACTGCAACAAGTATTACATCTGTCAATATGGCGAGTTTATTGAGCAACGGTTAGTCGAAGATCTCCTAAAGAGTCCGAACTGGCTTTGACCTCCAATTCCTCTCTCCCTTAGCTGTCCCGCAGGCTTACACTGGAACGAGAATTACTGCGACTGGCCCAACAATGCTCAGTGTGCAGTTCGCTCGGATCAAACCACTCAGCCACCAGTGGTGCATCGACCTAAGCCTACTAGCCCAACACCGACTCACAAACCCACCACAAAACCCACAAAGAAACCCTTTACACCGCCCAATAAGAAACCCATAGCCCGACCCAAGCCAACGCCGGCTCCACCGCTGGGCAGCAATGAGGCATACAAGGTCGTCTGCTACTTCACCAATTGGGCGTGGTATCGACCCGGCCAAGGCAAGTATGTGCCCGAGGATATTGATGAGAATCTCTGCACGCACATCGTCTACGGCTTTGCTGTGCTGAACGGCAACAGTCTCACCATAAAGACGCACGATTCCTGGGCAGATATCGATAATCGATTCTATGAGCGCGTCGTGGAGTATAAGCAGAAGGGATTGAGGGTAACCGTTGCCATTGGCGGCTGGAACGATTCACTGGGCAGCAAATATGCTCGATTGGTGCTCGATCCCAAAGCGCGTGCTCGATTCATTGACAGCATTTTGGTATTCGTTGAGAAATATGGCTTCGAGGGCTTGGATCTGGATTGGGAATATCCGGTGTGCTGGCAGGTGGACTGCGCCAAGGGCTCGCCAGCTGAGAAGCAGGGATTCGCTGCTCTCGTGCGCGAACTCTCCGATGCCTTCCGACCACGTGGACTGCTGCTCTCCGCCGCCGTCTCGCCGAGCAAAATGGTCATCGATGCGGGCTACGATGTGCCACAGCTGGCGCGCTATTTCGATTGGATAGCCGTGATGACGTATGACTTCCATGGCCACTGGGACAAGCAGACGGGCCACGTGGCGCCGCTGTATTATGTGGAGGGCGATGCCAATCCCTACTTCAATGCCAACTATAGCATACACTATTGGCTGGATCAGGGCACGCCGGCTAGTAAACTGGTGATGGGCATGCCACTCTATGGCCAATCCTTCTCGCTGGCCGACCCAAAAGCGCGCTCCCTGAACGACAGGTCCATTGGACCGGGGCAGGCGGGCACCTATACGCGTGCCGGTGGCTTCTTGGCCTACTATGAGATATGTGAGAAGGTCAGCGCTGGCGGCTGGACAGTGGTGCGTGACAATGAGGGACGCATCGGGCCCTATGCGTACAGCGGCAATCAATGGGTCTCCTACGATGATGTGGCTGACATACGACGCAAGGCGCAATTTGTGCGCAGCTTGCGTTTGGGCGGCGGCATGGTCTGGGCCTTGGATTTGGATGATTTCCGTGGTCGCTGTGGGTGTGGCAAGCATCCATTGTTGCGCACACTCAACCAGGAGCTGCGTGGCATACCCGGGCAGCGAGCCAACGATTGCACATAGTAATATTAATTATTATTAAGTGTGAATTACATGGATTCATGCCAATTCCTTAGCTGCTGACTAGGCTCGCAATCTGTTCTTAAGATTTTTGCCAATTAGTTATAAGCACACGATTACACCCCACTCAACCATATAAATAAATAATGAAAAAAAAATTTTTTTTTTATTCATAAATTCAAAATTTTCTGTTTGGCGCAAACTCATAAAATACTAAAAAGTATTTTTGTATTTTTTTCATCAGAATAAGGCGACCCTTATTTCTAAATTGATTTTCCAGGGCTGGACTACCTAAACTGCATTTAGCACTAAAAATTTAGAGTGACCATTAATTTTCACGCCATAATAATTCCAAACGGCTCTTACACGTAACGACAGATCGATATATGGTGTTCAATAAAATAAATATATTATTTAAGAAAACCCCATATCTATAATTTTAAAAATGAAAAATATAAAATAATTGAGTATTTTATTTAATCTAAAATTGTATTAAACTCAATATGGGCGAATTTTTTTCAGCTCTTTTTCTAAACATCTGTCAAACATTCTGGTTAATAAAATAATAAAATTTCTGTTTTACCAGTTTGGTTTTTTTCTCGCTCAAAAATGCATTAACGATCTGAAAATGCATAAATTGCACCGTGCATGTGCCCCTAAACAGCAACCAAAGATAGACACACAACGCGAACCATCGTGCGTAGGCGATGCAAACAGCTGTTCGAATCCAGAATTTAAAGCGCAAAAAGTGTCCACAAAAACTTAACGGAGAGCACGAGCACGAAAGCCTGAGAGCCTGCCAACGTGAGAGAGTGGGAGCAAGAGAAAGCTTTTCGGATGTGTGCGTATTTTAGGTGAACTTCGGCGCCGTTCAAGCAACGCGTTGACACTCAGTCGAACGGGCAACGAAGTTGCAGACGCAACAAATTTTGTGGTCAGCGGGTCGTGGCTCGGTTCTTAGGCATTGTTTCTCCTGTGGTGGTGCGTGGCAGCGGCAGAGCCCAAAGCGCAGCTTCTGTTATTGTTTATGCACACAGACAGCGCGCAAATACACATACACGCAGAGGCACACGCACACAGGCACATGCACACAGGCACATGCCAATTTTTACACATACGACGAAATCGTACGCAGCAAAACAGCGAAGCTATTTTAGTACGCTGCTCTAGCGCTCAGTGACGTCACAAGTTTGATCGCGAAAGCCACAGTTGTATAAGAGTGACAAATATAACAACAATAGTGACAGCAACAGCAACGATGAAGCAAATCTACCGCATTAACTTACGGCACTTAGTGCGTCACATACAGAATCGACAACAATTGCCCGCCAACAACAATTACCGTAAATTCACCTGCCTGGCGAATAGCAACAATGACAGCCGCATCAGCAACATTAGCAAAAGCAGCAGCAGCAGCAACAACAACAACAACAGCAGCAGCAGCAACCTGCAGCAACATTTGCCCATCTGTAGCCGCAAATACTCCAAGTTCAGCACGCACCTGAACAGCGAACGTGCCATGGAGCTGCTCTGCAATCTGGATGCAGATGAACGCCATAATTTAAGGGATGCAATGTTTAAGCTTGAAGCGGACAAGGAGAAGAAACAGTACGAAAGTAAGTAGCACTCTTTCTTATAGATCTATTAGATCTTAACTCTTAACATTAAGCAAAAAGCCAATGAAGTTTGCTTAACAAATAAATGAAAGTTAGCACATGAAATGCCCTACTTATAATTTGGAAATTTTAGACAGTATATCAAAAAATATATGCATATTCATGCACATATGCTATTTATAGCAAGTTTTGTAGACAACATTTATCAAATAAATGAAACTTTCTACATTAATTTCACTCAATGTAGTATTACAAAAACAGATTATACCCAAATCAAAACAGATTTCTAAATTCTAAAGATGTTAAAAACAGTGAAAGGAAATTTTCCTATTAGGTTATCCTAATCGGACATTAATTTTTAATCTAATGCGACTTTCATCTGAATGCATTAGGATTATGTTTAAAATATAAAAATATTTTTAAAATGTTAAACATACTTCACACAGTAATAAAACATACATTGATTTAATAATTCTTATGAAAGAAGAAAATTCAAAATGCATGCAATGCAAATTTTCAAACATGTAGGTAAATAATATATACACAATTTTGTATTGCTTTTATAACTCAGAAAATGTATTTATTTTCACATATTAAATTATAATATTAAAAAATAATAAACTCATTTCTTAACTTGAAGCTTCTTCAAAAAGAAATTCATAAACCGAGCTAAAAACAATAATTAATAATTTAATTTCAACTTTTTTTTTTTTTTTTTAATTTATTCTAAAAAGTTTACATGCTTGTTATTTCTAAAAGACTTGAAAAATTTAATTTTAAACTCAAATAGTACCTCAGATAACTTATCAAATTATTGAATATGAGATTTTTAATTTTATTTATATTAGTGATAATGTATAAATAGAGAAAATCATCATAACTAGCAATTGGGGCTTTCGCCTATTTAATACGTTTAATGCCAGATTCCATTAACAGGAATTGCTACTCCCCCACCTGCTGGCTATTAACAGAATGTTAATAGCATAACTCCAACAACAGTTTTTCTACTGATATTGCTTTGCAAAATGATGTGTAAATATCATAAATTTGAAATATTTGCATCAAGCATATTATGATATTTATAGCTTAGTATTCTCAGATCAATTCAAAACTATATGTTTTGTCCTTTGCCTGTGATAAATAATTGCTCCACTTTATTATAAACCTTTTTACCCACTCTAATTGGGTAGAAGTTATAAAAATATGCTTACGTTAAACTATATTTAGGTATACTCAAAATCCTGGTAAATTCGTTTGGGGTCATATTCGATCGCTGCCTATTTAATATATATATAAATGTATATATATTTAGATCAGTCCACGCTTGTGGGCCTCCTCCTTGAAGCACAGGCTGTACTTCTCAGCAGCCTCGCAATGGTCATCGGGCACGGGTATCGCCGCACAGATATCTCCGATCTCCAGGGCCATTTCGAGCTTGGCCGGATCACTGCCAGTGTATTGCTTTGCCTTCTCTCGGCCAGCTTCCACGTCCAGTTTGCCATTTTCACCCAGCACATGGAAACTCTTCATGATGCAAGCGCGCAGGCATTTGCCCTCATAGGTGCTGGCCGCTTCATGCTTGACGATGGTTTGGACTTCGGCATCGCTGGCGCCCACCTCGTCCTTGCACTGCTCGGCCTTCTCAATGAATTTTGCAAGGGCTTCCTTCTCATCAAAGGCTGCAATCAAAGCGGCGCCCAGCAAGGCGACACAGGCCACAGAGTACACAAAACGTTGCATGTTGTTAACTTGGTCAATTAGCAAACTAAACTGTTGTCATTGATGGCTAAATGTTGGGCTTTTATAGCCAAGCGCTGTAGGCTCTCAGCTGTGAAATTATATATTTCAATGCGTTTATAAAACATGACAATACATCAATATAAATATATATAGATATCTATATACTTAATTGTCCAAATTTTAATCTGCATAATTAAATAGTCAAGTCTTAATTATAAGTAGTATGTGAGCAACATAGCCGCGTCATGCCACCCCCACACCCACCGCCACGCCCACTGCCAATGCCAGAAGCAAAGCTTCTATAAGTAACTGATGCCTAATTTGGTCTGCGCCAGTCTCACACAGCTTTCCTTTTGGGCGTACGTGACTCCTGGGCGCCAACAGCCCAGGAAATCAACGCACAGATTTTCCAGTTTCCTGTGCGCACGCACACCCTCTCACAGTCCCGTCCACCCTGTGTGCGAAATGTGCGGCATCATTTATTCAACTGATCCAAATATATGAAATTTGCCTGAACAGCCTAAGCGATGGCAACATTAGCATGATTTAAGAGTTTGCTTGTGATTCCTGTACAGGATAGAGAAATGATTGGCAACAGTTGTTGACGCGTTAGTAAGATTTCATGTTGGCTTAGAATTTATGTTGCATGGGTTAAAATATTGTTGGCTGAAAAAGATTATCAAATAAGCACTTTATAATGCTGGTTTAACTAATTAAGTCCTTGGCAACATTTGATCGATGTTGATAGCGAAATGAAGTGGCAACATTTGATGAGCTATTGAGACGCATGTTGATAAACATGTTTAGCAACATTTTGCTGCTAAATTGGGAGCTCATCAAAATATAATAATGCAGTCGATTTTTGTCAACAATTGAGTTAATTAATGTGAATAGAAAACTGAATTGGCCACATAACTATAAACATTTCTAGCAACATTTTGCTAATAATGCTGCTAGAACTAAAGAAAGTCTTTGGCAACATTTGATTTGATTTTATGTTGATAGAGAAATTAATGGGCAACATTTGATGACTTGTTGAGATGCATGAGGATAAAAATGTTTGGCAACAATTTGGCAGTTCATAAATATGTATATGTTTGCATACATATGTACATATTATTATTTGCATACATATTAATCATTATATGTGGATAAAAGTGCCTCTGTTAACTTTATTAAAATGTAAGTACTTAGTAAATATCCATGTATATTCAACAACATTGGCTTGTTTACTATAACTAAAATTAATTTCAAAAATGTTGCAAACAAAAGCTAAAGTTCATGTTCGTTGGAGTTCAAACCATCCGGTTATTTATAATTATTGCTTAAAGATATGCCTATTGTTTTATACAAGAAAGATTGCAAATAAAATATTTAAACAAAAAATGTATTACGCAACATTTCTAGCTACAATCAAGTAAGCTTAACAGTTCATATTTATTGCTAACAGTATTGCGAGCACAGTGTTAAGGCTTACATCATGTTGCATTAGATCATGTCGCTAGCAACACAAACTTCTCAGCAACTTGTCGATGGCAACAAATTGTTGCTAAACATAATTCGAAGCTTTGTTAAGATAGGGAATAAGAGAAACAAATACATAGTTCTATGCTGTTGCTTGTTGCTGAGTGTGTTGCTAGCTCAATCTAAGCTACGTTTAAGTTGGACACAAAGTCTTAAGAACATTTAGCTAGCAAGAAAATATGCTAAACATCTGTCCTTGAAGCACCCATCTAAACAAATTTATTTCAGCACTATAAATCTGGGTATGTGCGTTTGGCGTTTTACAAGCCGACAACGTCATTAAATATGCGCATTTAATCATGCATTTGTTTTCAAATATCGGATATACACATATATACATATACAYATGTATATATAGTGTGTGTGAACATGTTTGTATTTACATTTAGTTGCTCGCAGCACAAGGCATGGAGTATACATATGTATGTACTACATACATACAATGGGAACGCATTTCTCTGCTCGTTTAGTGGCTGCTCATTAAAATTTCAATAGCAGCAACAAAAACCACACAAAACTTTTTGCGCCGCCTGCAGCTGGTTGAAACTTGCCGAAACTGCTTTACGCACTGGACGTCGACGTCAACGTCGCAGCTGACGCGCAACCAACAGTAGCCTTTATTCTGCCTTTTTTTCTATCTCTCTCTCACTCCCTCTCTGTTGCTAACAGATATTTTTGTTGGCTCTGTAAAACTTTTTGATTGGCTTTTTTTCTGCTACTGAATGGAAACAAATTTGGTTAGGAAAGCAAAGCAGAAAGAGCAAAAATAAAAACTGCATTTACCAACACTTGATTCGAGTCTTCCCTATCTCAACTCATCAGCCAAGAAGTTTCACGAGTTTCCACACGTAATTTTTGCTCTTTTCTTTCTTGTTTTTTGTTTGATAAGAACGTGTTGAGTGATTTGATAAATATTTGAGCTAAGCAAATGTTACGTGAAACAAGCTCTTAGTCATGTAGCTGATACATTGGGCACTTGAGCGTCAATAAAAAGGGATTTCAAGTAGTTTGATAAAGAAATTAGAAGGTTGTAAATAGTTTAAAAGCAAATTTCATTGACTGCTGCAGTTAGCTGAAAGAGTTAAAGATTATTGCAATTCGAGGTTGAAAAAAAAGTAAATAAGATTCAATGTGAGTTTAGAATAATAATAATCAATTTAATTGATTTATTTTCGACTTGATAATAAAGATAAATAAGATCAACTGATTTAAAATTTTTAAGAATTTTTAATTTGATATAATAATTACATCAAATTAAAAATTCCCTTTTCATTTTATTCATTAGCTCTTATCATTTTACTTCTTAAATAAACAGATAAAGTCTCAAGTTTCTTGCTATCTCTAAACGCTAAAAGTCAACACAGAATTTTAGCTGTATAAAAACTATTTATTTGGCAAATTGGACTGCAAAGACCTTTGCAGTATTACTGAGGTCAAACAGAATAAAATTTCTTTAATCTTTAGCCGGAATACGGAAATTACATTTTGCTTCCGATTTGCTTCGCACTCCTTTGTTGCATAGAAATGCTCAAGAGTGCCCTGGCAGAGCATTATAATAACAGATGTATACATGTGCATGTATGCATGTGTGGAGGGTGCATATTGTATATGCTGTCAGCAAAGGAGATAATGCATGCATGTATTTGTGAGCACTTGACACACGCCATTGCAATGGCTGTGATGCACTTTCTGCGATATAAAGTGAGACTCCAATGAGCACGAGAGCCATAATAAAT